ATTTCTAGAGTGTGCACGTGATTGCAAACTTAAATGCAATACTTGGCGTGATTTGGCTATATCTGCTGAAATCCAGTAGAATTAAGGTACCTTTCAATTTTGAACCACAGATGGTTGCATATGATATCTTAGAGGGGAGGGAAGCTTATGTAGTACTGGACGGGAGTGTTTGCTGAAATCCTCCTTAATTTCGCATTACAAAGATTAGACAAGTGGACATGAACAAAAACTTAGGCAGGGAAAATTCAATTTCTGCAAGCAGGAGCAATTGCATTTGCTACTATTTCTCTATGACACATGTCCATATTTCTATTTCTTCCAGCCTTCTAGATGTCCTCTCTTATGCTGAAGATAACAACAATAGGTATATATTAAGGAAACCAGTCCATCATATTATTTCTTGTTGGACTGCATGTTTTTTTTGTTGACATGAACAACATTGGAATTTACAAGGAGTCAAGTGCAATAGTATGTTTGTTTATATTACCTCTACCGTGATGTCAGCATGCCATTGATTCTTATCCTTGTTCTATGCTCCTCAAAGCGAAGTGATTTATTATAATACTACTTGCAGCCTGATTGGTATTCACCTTCTTATTAGGCTCTGAAAAAGCGAGGTCGAGAAAAATATCTCTTTGTTGAGAGTGTTGATCTTTAGTGATGGAGAAGTAGAACCAAATCAAGAGCAGGTCATCCAGAATCTGCCTTCCTTGGGTTGGGGAGTACGTTAACTCTCCTTTAATCTTCTTCATGACCTTTTTAAAATTTAACGATGTGTTTAACTGGTTTTTTATCGGGTGTAGGCCTAATTATTACCTCTATGGTTACAGGTAAGGAAAGATCTGGTTCACTGCTGGTGCATTTTGTTAGGCAGAAAGCTGATGAAATATATTGTTGCATGTAGTATATTGAAAATCATCTAGAGCTTTTAGATTTCCTTGCTGGTTGGTAAGGCTTCTGGGTCCACGTTCGAGCACTTCATTTTGTTAGGATATCTTCTTTTTAATTTTTGCCTACAATCTCTATAAAGACCAATAATTGAATAGTTACCACTGTCGAAGGATTGAATTTCATAGCAGAGTCACCATGAGTGTCATCAGAAACAAATCATTAACAAACCATGAGTGTCATTTTCTCAGGTGTCCCTTGAACTAGAGCCCCTACAAGAACACTTCGAACACTGGACTATGACATTACTCTCATATTCTCATTACAATGAGTCAAAAAAATCAGCACTAACATGGGATATAGTGTAAAACCAATTTTGTTGTTAAGGGTTAGTAACAATGATTTGTTTTTTTTTTTTTTTTCATAGGAGGAGAAAGCAATGTTTGTGTAGCAAATGCAATGTTTGTTTTCAGGTTCGTCTCAAAATCTTTTGGCCATGTAGATTTCTTTTCCAGTGAGCTTTTGTCGGAACAACAAACTTTGTTAGATCAGTCTGTCAGTTGTGTCCTGCTTGTCGCTATTCAGTGTAGAGTTTCTATTAATAGTGTGTTTTTTCGGAAATGGATTAGCAAATATACTACATGATTCTAATGCATAGATCCTTGTTTTCCTCTGGTAGGTAGGACGTTTCAACTACATTCGCTTGTCTACAAAGTATGGTCTTACACGTAAATTCAGTGGTATGTTAGTATCCTTCAATTTATAAAGTGTTTGAGCTGTTGGTTGAAAATTCTTTGGCGTCAAAACCAAATGTTTGGTTGGCAAGATTTGATTTGCTCAGATAGATTAGTTACCGTGTTGAGACATTATTGGAATCTTTTTTAGATTATTATTGGTGGAACGGATGAATCAATTTTTGTCACCATCACTATTTATGTGTAAATGTTGTTTTTAACTTTGCAGCGAGGGGACTGTCATTTCAACAACCTCTTAGCTTGGATTGTTCTGAAGATTAAAGAGGATGTAAGGCACTCAATTCTATATCATCTCTTTGATTGCCTCCCTAAATCTGAGTTGGTTTTAACTAATTCGGAAACTATGAATAGTGCATATTCTTTTGCCATATTTCATCTAAAAAACAAAATAATTAAAACTAACATCCAGAGAATTTATAGTTAAAATTTTTTAGAGATGTTTTGTTTTTAGAATGAGCAAATCCAAAAAGGTGGAATCAGGCTATCAGAGACTATCTGTTAACTAAGATGGTTTTTTTCCTTGGGTTGCCCAGAATTGTTGCAATTTTACAGGATGAATCAATGGTTGCCATTCATATAGTGATGCTTGATGCTTAGCACAACCAGCTGCCAAAGCAACTATGAAAAAAATAATCGAATGTAGAATAAGTTCTTGTGCTCAATAATTTTTGCTGCTTGCTAGTAGATCAGTAACGGCCACATGTGAATATGCTAGGATGGATGCTTGGTTTGGATGGCACGATGATGACTTCGCTGACATTTGCGATATTCTTGACAGTAGTGCTCCAGTACTGCTTAAACTACTAATGTCCTAAAGCCAACCATCGAAATATATTGGCATTGACTCTCAAAGGTATGTTGTGGTTCAAGTTCAGTTTTCTTCACTAATATATGTCTGAAGCAACCATGCTTGGTAAATATTTTTTGGTTTTCCTCTGATCTGAATATGAACTGAACATAGCATTTATTGTACAACTGCCTTACGGTTTGCCTTTTTATTTACAGATTATATTATAATAATAATATTGCTCTGTTTCTTCTAATGCCCAATTCTTTGTAGAATCTAATTACTTTGATCTCTGGCATCCTGAAGATAGGGAGCTGCTTGTTGATCCTAAGTTGATGTTCGTTGAGAACAAACTAGGAAGGTCCACAAGGGGAAGTAACGATACTTTTGAGGCATGCATACTCGCACCTAATTTTTCACATGTATGTGGCTACCTTATTGGACTGAATTTCAAGTATCTGCATTAGTTGTTGTTTTAGTTTATTTTCATTTGTCTTTTAGTATGTTTAAGTCATATTCAGTAGTCCTGTATTCCTTTATCTCTGAATAGGTATGATGATCAAATTGTAGCGATAGGTTCTTAACCGTGGAAAATTTTCTGAAGAAAAAGCAACACTTGAAGCCTATTTCAGTCGAGAAGTAAATATAATGTGTAAAGTGAAACATGAGAATCTTGTCAAGGTACTTCCTGGTTTGAATGACATGTTTGTGTGGCTACATAGATTGTCATTTTTTGGGACCTTCTCATAACTCTTTATGCACTCATGCAGTTCATTGGAGCTGGGAAGGGACCATTGATGGTGATTGTTATTGAGCTATGCTAGGAATGTCACTGAAAACTTATTTGAACAGCATTTGGCCTAGCCAACTAGATACACACATCACACACTGCAATTAACTGTGCAATGGACTGTTTACACGCAAATGGCATAATATATAGAAACTTGAAACCTGGTAAGGATGCTCTTCTGGCATTGTACACTATGAACTTGTGATCCTTTAGCATGGATATGTTTCTTTTATGTTGGCAAAATGGAAGTTACATTGCATAACAAGCTGATATTTTGTTCCTATTTTCTTCAGTATTATTGAATCCTTTTGAAAGTTGGATTTGTTCCCAGTTTCAAATGCATATTGACAGTTGAGTGGTGGAGATGGACTTGAGTGCAAGGCACAACTTGAGCTAAGAACTGGACATGCAAAATAGACTCCACGAGTCGGCACATACACACTCATGAAACTAGAAGCACTCTCATGAAACTGGAAGCACTCATGAAACTAGAAGTACGTTGTGGCAAGGGACGGTGAAATCTGATAGCTAGAGGGTACATGGTGGCTGGCATCTTTTTAATCTTTTAACAAATTGCAGATTATTTTTGTCAAAAAGAAATTTAGAGGTTAGTATATATATTTTTTGGAATTGTAAATAGTAGGGATACAATATAATATGTTGTGTGATCCGTGTGTTTTTAGTATAAAAGTTTTATTGTCCCTAGTAACATACGGGCACACTACCTAGTTACTATATAAAAAAGGGAAGGACTGCTACTTGCTCAACACATCGGATGCAACGGCTTCATCGTTCATCCAGACTGCACGGAGGTTATGGACACTAAGAAAAGTGGCATCTCATCTACAGCAGGGGTGCCAATCTTTGATGAATATTTCCAGCTATGGCAGAACTTTGAAGCAATATATCTTGAGAAGTGCGATCGGGAAGCAAATAAGGTGGTGCACGAGTTAGCGAAAGTAGCTTTATCAATAAAAGATATTTGTATTTGGGTCGATAAACCCCCTGGTTTTATTCTTAGAGTCTTGTAGACGATGTAGTCCTATTTCATAATCAATAAAGTGCGCAGCATGGCTTCTCTAAAAAAAAAGGGAATTAATAATTGGAAAAACATTTGGAAGTTGAGAGGTTGTGCTAGCCCAAGCCCAAATATAGTACATACGAAGTAGTCTGTGGCGCAATCAATCCTGTTTGCTTAAATTTATCAGCATGCCTTATCAGTTATAGTATAGTATTTTTCTCTTACAATAAATTAGTGAATAATACTTTTTAGCGTGAAACGAAGAGGTAGTATAATAGTTGAAAATTTATGCTTAGGCCCCGTTTAGTTGCGAAATTTTTTGGCTTTTTTTTGGTACTGTAGCACTTTCGTTTGTATTTGGCAAAAATTGTCCAATTATGAATTATTTAGGTTTAAAAGATTGAAAACGAATAGGTAGTATAATAGTTGAAAATTTATGCTTACACGAAATTCCTATTGTTTGACCTTCTGACAAGACAGCTCAGTGACCATTTCCTAACAATCCAACAATGCAAGCAGCAACCCTCAACGAATATACATTTTACAAACCACTCCCTCTCCCCAGTCCTTCGACACATTTGGCACTTTTATTTCGCAAATTAATTTGCGATTTCCCACCAAATGCTGCATCATGCATCACCCTTTGTATGCAGCAAAGACGACAATAAGTAGCAAGTACCGGACACTGCAAATCTTGCACACGCAAACCTCGCCTAAGCAAGCCCTCCCTGTCCTGTCCCTGGTGTGACACTGATCTCGATGGGGTCCACCGAGGAGCAGCAGCAGCCAGTGGCCGTCGTGGAGGAGGCGTCGCCGGAGATCATCTTCCAGTCCAAGCTCCCGGACATCGCCATCACCAACACCCTTCCGCTGCACCGCTACTGCTTCGAGCGCCTCCCCGAGGTGGCCGACCGCCCGTGCCTCATCGACGGCGCGACGGGCGCCGTGCTCACCTACGCCGAGGTGAACCGCCTGACCCGCCGCCTGGCCGTGGCGCTCCGGCGCGCGCCGCTGGGGCTCGGCCGCGGCGTGGTGGTGATGAACCTCATGCTCAACTCGGCCGAGTTCGTGCTCTCCTTCTTCGCCGCGTCCCGCGTGGGCGCCGCGGTCACCACCGCCAACCCGATGTCCACCGCACGAGATCGCCAACCAGATCGCGGCCTCCGGAGCCACCGTCGTGTTCACGGAGTCCATGGCCGTGGACAAGATCCCTGTCAAGGCCAACGGCGGACTCACGGTCGTCCTCATCGACGCGCGCCGCGACGGGTGCCTCCACTTCTGGGACGACGTCATGGCCAGCGTCCCCGACGACGAGGACCAAGAACCAGAAGAAGCGGCGGCGGGCTTCGACCCCGACGACGTGGTGGAGCTGCCCTACTCGTCCGGCACGACGGGGCTCCCCAAGGGCGTGATGCTGACGCACCGGAGCCTGAGCACCAGCGTGGCGCAGCAGGTGGACGGCGACAACCCCAACATCGGCTTCACCGCGGACGACGTGATCCTGTTCTCGCTGCCCATGTTCCACATCTACTCGCTCAACACCATCATGATGTGCGGCCTCCGCGTCGGCGCCGCCATCGTCGTCATGCGCCGCTTCGACCTCGCCAGGATGATGGAGCTCGTGGAACGCCACCGGATCACCATCGCCCCGCTGGTGCCGCCCATCGTGGTCGCGTCGCCAAGAGCGACGAGACCGCCGCTCACGATCTGTCCTCGGTCAGGATGGTGCTCTCCGGCGCCGCGCCCATGGGGGAGGACATCGAGGACGCCTTCATGGCCAAGCTCCCCGGCGCCGTGCTCGGACAGGTACGTGCCATGCCATGCCATGCCATGCCAGACCGCGCGCACCAAACACCACCGGCCGTTTTTCTCCGTTTTCATAGTTTGCTTGTCTCATTTGGGCTGTTTTTTGCTTTTCTGGTTTTTTTTGCGTCGTGTTTTATGTCCAGGTTCTTGATTTTTTGAGACTCCCTTTTCTTTTTCTGAATTCTTAGTGCCCATTTCTCCTGATTATGTTAACTATGTGAATGTGGTACGTTAGTGTTGGGCCGGGGGTCTACGACTCTACGTATTGATAATCGGACGGTGAACGATGACGGCATTGGATGGATGGTCTTGATAAGCTTTCCATGGCCGTTGGATGTTCCTTGAGTGGCTTAGATTGCCTTTTTGATATTCGCGTAGGTCAACCCTCACATCATTCATTGGCACGTTCGACTGATCCAATCCAACGACGCCCATGGAGAAATTCGTTCACAGGCATGGGATACCTTGACAACTCAATTGATTAATCCGGGCACGTACACAATGATATGATGGTGCCAACTAATAGGATTCTAATACTAGCTGCTAGCTACGAAAAGCTTATACAGCAGCTTTTTATCAACTTGGTTACTATTGACTGGTCCTGTTTAGATGTTTTAACTAATGGTTTGCGATGTTTCATTACGGACTTACGATAGCCAGCTAACAGCTTTTTATTAGCCAGGTAGTTTATTATGAGTTACTAGTTGGGATTATTAGCTAAAGGCATTGGATCCACTGGAGCTGATCATTACCTATTTGGATCAAACACCCCGAACCATGGATTTTAGAATGAGATTTAGCAATGAGATTTTAGAATGTTTTGTATCCAATCTAGACAACATTTTGGGAAAACGTCAATTTGGGAAGATCACTTAATTAAATGGTCTTTAATGTTGATTTCTACTTAACATGGAAACAAGTAAGCAATATTTTTCATATCCCTTTTTTATATTATCCATAACAACAAAAAACAATCTATCTAATTTGTCCTAGTACTAAGATAACTCTTGCTGCGGGGTTGTTGAGAAGTTGGACCTCTGAGTGCTGCTCCCTAACGGCCGGTAGACGGTAGTTCTGACTTCTGACTTTCGGAGAGCTGCGGACTTTCTAACTTGGTACACGGTAGTTCCATGGTTGGGTGCAGATGATGTTGAAGGTTACTATATTGGTAGGTGGTTGTTTGTTTACTGACTTCGATGTGAGGATGTGCAACATCAACCTTGCATTTCATTTAGGTTGGTTAGTTGCCTCTACTAGCACTCCTGTTCACTCAAGATGAGTCCGTCTTGTTCTTACACGGGCTGCGGCTGCTATGTAAAGGTGAGGCATGGGGTTCAAAAGTTTTCTCGACCCACGGGCACAATGTCCGGGACTCTCTTACTCTACGGATCGGGTTTTTTTTTTTGTTATTAGGGGTTGCTTAATTTTTTTCGAGGGGGAGGGGTGGTGGATCCCAAGGATTTTACAATAAATTAAATAGCTCATCAATGACTTTTTCTAATAACTAGAATATTCTTCAACCAGATTTTTGCAAAAGCGTCAACCAAAAAAACACACACACTGGACATAGGGATTTCAGTGTGTCCAGTAGAGTCGAAGCAACAAGTTGGTGATGGACCTGTTCTGTTATTCGACGACCACGTCCACAACACACACAATGCAAAGTCAGTCAGTCCATTGGACATCACAACTAGCATATACTATACTCGTACTGATCTGTTCGTATCGCCTGTCACGCAACGCAGGGGTACGGCATGACGGAGGCCGGGCCGGTGCTGTCCATGTGCCTGGCGTTCGCCAAGGAGCCCTTCAAGGTGAAGGCCAGCGCGTGCGGCACGGTGGTGCGCAACGCCGAGCTCAAGATCGTCGACCCGGACACCGGCAAGTCCCTCGCCCGGAGAGATCTGCATCAGGGGCCAGCAGATCATGAAAGGTACTGTACTACTCTAGTTTCTTGTCTCTTGCATTGCACGTCGTCGTCCTTCGTTGGCTCCAACCTCCAAATGTTGACTTCGGGCAGCTGCATGCTTGCATTAGAGAATGGATGGACTGCTGGCTGGCTGGCCCAAACATCCCTAGATCTAATATCACTTGGAAGTTGCAACATTGTGTGGTTAGTGCTTCACATATCCTTAATCACTCCTCAACTTCGATTGATTGATTGATGAATAAAGTATCACCACGTGATATATAATAAATAAATAATGTGCATCAAATTAATCTAGCTCGGTCAACAAGACGTGAGCTGTGCCACTCCTTTGCACACTGCACTGCATAAATGGTTCACACAGACGGCATTGCCAGGAGTTTATTTGTCAGTTAGTCCCTTGCGATCGATGACGTTGTCCACCCACGCTTGATGATGATTTGGTGGTGCAGCGGTTGAGCTGTAAGATGGCTTTGTGTTCGATCCTAATCGTCATAGTCAAAGCAAAGTGGAGTGAGATGAACCATTTCATTCCCATGTGTAGCTTTCTGTCCAGATTGGCAACAGAAATAATAAATTAAATGGTCTTAGCTGAGATGAGACCTGACAGCTTCAGTTCTGGCTATGGAAGTCTCCCTCCCTTCCCTTGGTGTGATAGCTGAAATAAATCATCATGAATGGTGGACTGTTCTGAATAGATCTGATCCCTGCCAAAGTGAAGTGGGGCTTGCAGCAATGTTTGTTTTTGATAGCTGCTTGCATGACAATGGGCAATGGCAATGGCGACAGCAGCTGTCAGTTTCAGTTAGGCCACTGTAAATTGTCATATATTGGAGACAAGCACGTGTTCTGGAGTCTTGACATATATGGATCTACTACCAACAGATGACACGGACATAAAATGGAATATGTAGTTAATGGAAAGAGATGAAATGTAGTCACATCTATGATCTATTTTGCATTATCGTTTTAATGATAACTGCTAATTGGTCGTAGTTCCCACAGACACTGGATGCTGCCGTCATTCACCTAACGAAGTGATGCATACTGTGAAGCTGAATTTGTCAAGCTTTTAGTTTGGTTGCCACCCAGTATTATTGTAGTCTATCCTTCTTTTTGTGGATTTTGGTTAAGTTACTCTCTGTTCTTCAATAAAGTACAGTACAGTATTATATGAACAACTTTGATGGTTAGAACTTAATTAGAAGAGTTGATGGGCCGATGTGCTTTTGGTCATCAGGTTACCTGAACAACCCAGAGGCGACGAAGAATAGCATCGATGCCGACGGGTGGCTGCACACCGGTGACGTCGGCTTTGTGGACGACGACGACGAGATATTCATCGTCGATAGGCTTAAGGAGATCAAGTACAAGGGCCTCCAGGCGGCCCCCGCGGAGCTAGAGGCCCTGCTCAGTGGTGGATATAAGCCTAGGGCCACTATGGCCACGGCCCCAGGCGTTGGGCCGGTTTCTCTACACTGTAGCACACTGTTCCAAAGAGGCCCAATTAATCTACCAAAATGAGTCCATGGAGTGGCCCCAGGCGTTGGGTCAGCCCAGCTCCGCCACTGGCCCTGCTCATCACCCACCCAAGCATCGCCGATGCCGCTGTCGTCGGGTATTAATCACTTGACCTCATCATCATTTGCTCATCACTTGGTATTTTCAGTCGTTGAGATGCATGGTGTCTACCATCATTGCAGGAAACAAGTCGAACCAGAAATGGGGGAAATCCCAGTCGCCTTTGTGGCCAAGGCCAAAGGGAGTGAGCTCAGCGAAGATGACGTCAAACAATTCGTGGCCAAGGAGGTAGTATTATTTTCTTGAGCTAGAAAATGTTTGCTTCCTTTTTGAGTTCACGTTCTGATGCTGAATCTGAACATTAGGAGTGCAATAACAATAATAGAACTCAAAGCTAAAGAAACAAAGACATTCGTTTGTTATCTTTTTCCCCCTTTTGACTGAGGGACCTTCTGCTCCAGGTGATCTACTACAAGAAGGTCCGCGAAGTGATCTTCGTTGACAAGATCCCCAAGGCCCCCATCGGGCAAGATATTGCGCAAGGAGCTAAGGAAGCAGCTTCAGCAGCAGCAACAAGTGGCGTGATTAAAAAAAAAACAGCTTGTGCATTGTTCTATGCTTTATTTTATGATTTGTTCGGATGTTGACAAATGGAGGAAGAATTTTATCGGAGGCAAGTAGAGAGTTTTATCTCTTGATGTGTATTGTATCTAGCTAAATGGTGAGGCAGGGAGGCTTTGATGGAATGTATATGGATATTGGATTTGCGAAGGTATATCATATTGAGGTGACAGTTTTAATTAGTGTTTCTGGTCTAATTGGTGGTGGTGGTGGCACCGTGATGTGTCTACATAATGTTCATTTTCCTCTCAGACATAATTTTCATCATTGTAGATTAAAATCTAATACATTTTGCTCTATTTTTCCTTCTATTATTCACAATAGCATATAGTGGCGAATGCATTGTAGCCTAGCTAGCTGTTCAGATTTCTTGTGGTGAAATCTGTTCACCCACGTTCAAATCCTTTACTTAACTTAGCACGAGTGCTTGTTTTTTTTTAAAAAAAGAAAATTTATTCTAGGATTGACATGGTGTTTTGCTTCGACCAGTGGTAATGCAAATGGTAACTAAATCAGGTTACACTGTAATTAAAAGTGGGGTCAATCATTATGGTCTTTGTTTGGTTTTGGAATGTAACTGCATCAGATACAAAATTTGTACCAAATTACTATGATTTGACTATGCTCCAGAGAACCTCTCAATCTGGCTGATTAGCGCCGGCATCGAACCAAACATGTGTTACGAGATTTCTTACCCTGCATAATGACAAAATGTCAAACCAAACACTAGCTTAATGGTGTTATTCATACGGGTGGGGGCAAAGTCTGCGCCTGCTAATGTTTCGTTATAAAAGTGACAAGTGATGAGAAATTCAATAGGCGCCCATGGCCTAATAGATAATGCGTCTGACTTCTAATCAGGCGACTGTGGGTTTGAGTCCCACTGGGCGTGAAATGCAGTTTTTTTTAAAAAAATAATTATTTTATTTTCCATTTTTAAAACGCCCATCAAGACTGAACTTTTGTTGACGTCGCAAGACCTTTGGCAATACACCTATAAAATCACATACGGATCCAAAACTGAGTACCAACAATGTAACGGGTCCAAACCATATATTAATTCACTGGTACATACAATCAGATCGACTGGAAACACAGCAAAGCATTCAGTAATTAGTTCATCATCACTAACGATGCCTAAAACTAATCCATCGTACCATCAAGCTTAGGAACGGCACCCTCTGCATTAGAACAAGTCTGGCTTTTTTTTTTTAAAAACGGAACCAGCAGGAGAGCTGCCTATTGTATTAAAAAGAATGGAGCATAGAAAGACACTGTATAAACATATACAAATGTGGACAAGAGAGCAAAAGCCCGAAACGCCCCAACTCAGGTGGCCTCAAATCACACGCGCAATAATAAATTGGAGATATGCTTTGCTCCCGTCATTGCCTACAAGCCAGCCTCTTCCTTGATCTTCCGGAGAAGATGCATTGGTGCGGATTCTTTGCGCTCAAAGATTCTTGCATTTCTTTCATTCCACACCTCCCAACAAACAAGAATGATAATGGAGCGCAGTCCTCGCCTCGCCGTCGAAGGTGTTCGATCTAGGTTTTCCCACCAAGTTTGTACGGAGTCTCCTAGTACACAGGCGGAAGGTCACAGGTGTTCGTTGCCTAGCCAGGTACCAGCCGTCGATTTTATCATCACCGGCGCCTTTGCTGAGGAAGGCGTGGGCGCACGGTTCGTCGAGGTGGAGGTGTGCGGAGCTAACCGACATGGAAACAGGAAAGCTTGGACCTTTCACCCCTCCCCTGCTTCTTGCTTCGGCTCGACGCACCCGTGCACCAGGAACAGAGCAGCATCCTCCTCCCCTGCTTGCGCGACGTGAGCCTACCAAATGACTACGTGGTTGCAGTGGTGTCACTTTTCATAGCAAGTGGAAGCGTCTTACCAAGCTCTTACAAAGTTCTTACCAATGCAAGTAGTGGACGGTACAACCGGCGGCTGGTTCGTGATACCTGTGAGACAGTGGTACCGAGATTGCAAGGGCCTTTATCTGTACTGATCTGAAGTATATATGTGGAGCTTGGAAGGCAAACAAAGAGTAATATGTATATCTGGCACACAAGTCAGTAATAGAAAGTAATGCTGAATTATAGTCCAAAGTACTTGTTCTCGTTGCTGGTCTAAAATGTTCCAAGTACCAGGTGTGTGACAAAAGTATGGTGGATAGCAAGGTGACAGGTGTGTGAAAAATAAGTATGGTGGATGGAAACAGCAACACAAACAAGGAATCAGACAGCACACGCTAACACAGCTCACTTTGGTCTTCTCTATGTGCTCCTCTAAATATTGTTCTTCTTTTGCTCCTCTCTTTTTTCTATTTTTTGGGCTATCGTTGTTTTTTGGGAAATTTTGACTTTTTTATTTTATTTTTTGATATTTTTTCTTTACTTAGGAGCACAAAAGAAGTAACCACAAAAAATATGAGCTTAAACAGGTGAAAGACGTGGCCTGTGGAAAATTCAGAAAACTTGCTCAAAATCGACACAAACCTTGTGACCACGAAAAGAGAATCTTGTGACCACTTTTTGACCAATTTAAAAATTTCCGACCCAGACAAAGCGGGGATGGACGGATCCGAAATTTTTTTCTGATCGATTTTGATATATGTTCGAAATCGGAGTTCATATGCGAAAACTAGACCAATTTTAAGAATTGGCTCCGAATTAGTGGACAAAACGGGAACAATGTGCACAAAACTGATCACAACAGCAAAGATTTGATGGAAACGATGGGGGAAAACACACGAACTGGACTCTAACACGACCTAACCAGCAACAAGACCTCGACCAGGACACAAACTCAACACGACGGACTCTGAAACTGAAATATGCAAAGGCTATGGCACGGAAGGTTCTAGGATAGGAACAAAAATATGGCATTGGACTATGGGACGAATGCGAAACACTCAAACTAGGGAATAAATGTGAACCTGATGGTATACCTTAGCTTTGATTACCACTTAATGGAGATGGGGATCCCGATCTTCTGTCAGGTGGTGGTAACTATCGTTGTGGCGGAGAATGACACACCGATCCGGCTTCAGATCGAAAGATTGAACCCTGCAATCTTAGCGCCACAGCTCCTCTGGTTATCAACCGAGTCACAGACCAGGTTGACCTCGCCAAGAAGGCTAATCCCTGCCTGCGCAACGAAGAACACAAGTAAGAACAAGAAAGAACACAACCAAATTGCAGATAAATGATTAATCTCTCAAAGTTAGGGTCTCACAAACCGATGAACGGCAAAACTGTTTTTGACAGAATAATCTAAGCAAAACCCAAACCCTAATGGAGGGGCGGCGGCTGTTTATGAAGACTCTAGGGTCGTGCAAGATCCCTGGACACGCTCCTAATGGGCCCAAACACGATACATGGTCCAACGGACCAAAAGACGGTGTCGCAGCACCCTAACAGATTCTGGACGCTGACTTGTGACCACGATTCCCGTTGATTCCGAATAGCTTTTGACGTGAGACCACTTGGATTGGCTTCCTTATTAAATTAGCTTTCCATCCATATGTGGATCGTCGAAAACAGAGTCCGGATACGTCCTGGGTGACCAGTTTAAGACAGACTGGTCCTGGAGGCCGAGGCAGACTCGAACTTGAGTTGCTTTGGGCCTCCACCTCGGGGACTCGAACCGAATTAGCCTCAGGCCTCCTTCTTGACTTGGACACCCTTGCTGGCCTCCTTCCCCTCCATACCATATGCCAAACATGGTCATATGCATGGGTGTCATGTCCTCATCATGTCTCGATCGACATGACGATCTGCGCGTACTTCTTTGGCATGCAGCGGAGAAATTTCTCCACCGCACGCTCCTCCGTGAGGTCGGTGTCGCCGTTGCGCGCCATCTGCTCCATCAGGTTGGTTAGGCGAAGGGAAAAGTCCTCTACTTCCTCACTAGGCTGAAAGGCGAGGCTTTCCCACTCCCCTCGAAGGCGCTGCAACGTCGCCCGATGTACGCGATCTCCGCCGACGTATGCCACGGCGATCGCTTCCCACTCTAGCTTCGCCGTAGCCTTGTTGGTGAGGGAGGCGCCGAGCTCAGTGGGGACGGCGGCGCATAGGGCCTCCAGCGCCCGACGATCATCGTCGTAGCTGACGCCGCCGACGTGTACCACCTCCCACAACCATCAAGCCTACAACTTGACCTTCATCAGCAGGCTCCACTCATGGTAGTTCGCCTTGGTGAGCATCGGCCATTGCGATCCCGTTCCGGAGTCACGGTAGACCGTCTGCAGCACCGGGGAGCGCCTATGGCGACCACGACGCCACTCTGGTGACGGCGACTGGCGGTGGCGCCCGATCGAACTACGCGACCCTCCTCCCGCTGGCTCCGGCTCCTCCCGCTCCATCTCGGCGCGTAGTGCCGCAACAGCAGCCACCGCGGCTTGAACCGCAGCTGCTGCCTACCTGGCCGTCTCGGCCGCCGCCGTAGCCGCTACCTCTGGCTCCTGCGGCGTCACCGCCGGGGTTGATCACCGCACCGACGACAGCGCACGCTCTCTCGATTTGGCTGGCGGTGGACATGGTGCTCACTCACTCAAGAACCCTAGGCTCCGATACCAATTGTTGGCCCAAAATAGATCTTAGATTCAGATTTGGGAACTACCAGAGGACAGCTTAGCCCTTGGTTGCTTGGATTAAAAGGAAATGTAATGGCTTGTCTTGATATAAGGGTGTGCCCCTGCTCTTATGGGTAAAGGGCAGCATCTACTTTCTACTAGCTCTAGCATATTTTTCTAACCACTAAAGTGGATGCTGAGCATATTCCTATTACAAAGGCTTGGAAGCCAACGAAAGTAAAATGCAGAAGAGTAAGATACAAGTGCTGCCGAGCACTAGGCTTATCTATCACAGTGTAGGAATGGCCATGTAAGAGCGCCGTAAGCTGGACCAGGTAAAAACTAGAATCAGTGTTAAACTATAATGGCTCATTCATTGTGATACTTTTGACATAACATCAAAGATCATGCATTCATGCTTCAAGGTGGTTGAGGCCAATTATGCAAACA